TCTCATCTTTGTGTTGCTTGGATGATGTACGCTTGACCGCTGCAGCAGTTGGACAAATGGGCGTCTGCTGAGCCTGCCGTTGAGTGTCACGAGCGAGCTTGCTGGGCGTTGGTTGCCGGGCAAGCAGACAATGACTTGGTTGCCATTTAGAGTATCGAAGATGACAACGTTGCATTGCAGTCACTCTGGGCATAGTTCTCCGGTATGAAGCTGCGGATGCTGGTTGCTTCACGGTTGTTTCTGCGTCGCCAAAATCAGCGCTCTTCAGACTTGTGTCCATGGCTTGCTTTGATGCCGCCATGGCATTCATGAAGCGCAAAATCACCGGAGGCCAAATCACGGTCTTGAGCGCCCTGCGTGGTGGCACTTTGAGTTAAGTGTGGCCTTCTCATTTTTGTGATCCAAGCTGCTTGGATGATGTACGCTTGACCGCTGCAGCAGTTGGACAAATGGGCGTCTGCTGAGCCTGCCGTTGAGTGTCACGAGCGAGTTTGCTCAGCGCTAGTTGCCAGGCAAGCAGACAATGACTTGGTTGCCATTTAGAGTATCGAAGATGACAACGTTGCATTGCAGTCATTCTGGGCATAGTTCTCCGGTATGAGGCTGCGAATGCTGGTTGCTTCACGGTTGTTTCGGCGTCGCCAATATCAGCGCTCTTCAGACATGCGTCCATGGCTTGCTTTGATGCGGCCATGGCATTCATGAAGCGCAAAATCACCGGAGGCCATCACGGTCTTGAGCGCCCTGCGTAGTGGCACTTTGAGTTAAGTGTGGCCTTCTCATTTTTGTGTTGCTTGGATGATGTATGCTTGACCGCTGCAGCAGTTGATTGAATGGGCGTCTGCTGAGCCTGCCGTTGAGTGTCACGAGCGAGCTTGTTCGGCGCTGTTGTTTTTCGAGTCATGTCTTGCTGTCCCGCTGTACGCCACCAGAAGCCATTCCCCCTTGGCCACTGCGATCGGCCCTGAGGACACCAACAACTTCCGCTTCCAAGGCAGCTCAGACGAGGAGTGCTGTGAGCCACGCCTTTGCTCGGACTATGAGACCAAGGCGTGCGAGTTCAAGGAGGTCAACTTGCCTTGCGTCGGCGAAGCCTTTTCATTTTGCCTCAAAGCCGGATGCAAGTTGTAAGGTTAAAGCATCCAGACAGAGTCATGGTGCCATCTCATTCGCAATTAACCAATGAGTCATACATCTAATGCTGGTAGCCGGCTGTATGGCCTTGGCTTTGCAGTGCCTTGCCAGTTCCCCACGAAGTGGCGGCGGAAGACCAAGCCAAACCTGCTTGGCAGCACAGATACCGAGTGCTTTGATGCTTGGCTGGCACTAGTTGATGTTGTATGCCATTCAAGGGTTTGCATGCAAGAGCCCTACGCAAGATCTTACATTGCACACTTATGTATGAGATGTACAATATGTGTGTGATGTATAATTCTCTCAGTCTGTGGCCTTGGCCACGCAACATTGAATGGTGAACCCTCTTCGGACTTTCGTGGGACCATGGTAAACTCGGTGGTTGTTTGCGGTTTCCACTTCCCATCCAGCAACTCTCCGTTTGTTGGGTGTGGCCGGGGTAAATGAGCTGAGGAGCCTTTGTGGTGTGCTGACTTCTGTGGCGCTGGGCTCAGAATTCCGTCGTGCTTCAAGCTTGGACTCTGTGCGACGCGTGGGCGCCAGTTCAATTCGAGGCTGCAAAGCAGAGGAGAAGAAGGTGCCTGTGGAAGACGCCAAGCACAAGCAGGGCTCCACAGTGGCTGAGTGCTGCAAGGCGGGAATTGCTACCATGGGCAGGATGGTGGCTTTGTGAGAGATTGGAGTCCGCTTAAAGTTCGGATGACACCATCTCCAAAAACCGTGATTCGGATTGGCATTCCACAATGCCAAGGCTGCCTCATTTGCTTCTAAATTGGGAACGATGGACGGTAGAGATGCCACAGTGTTTAAAAGAGCCATTACCGGTTGCTCATTTTGCCTGGGTGTCGGAACAAGCAGCTTATGCCAGGACATGTGAGCCAGAGATGAAGGCAGCTGAAGGTGTCGGAAAACGCTGAGCTGCAATCAGCCGAAGGCTGAACGTGCAGCGTGGTTCTGCGCAATGAACGAATGCGCGGTTGAAAAGGCTGAGTCTGCAATTGTCGGATCGATCATTCCACGGATCACGGAATGTTTGGCACCTGCGTTCGCAAGATATTGATGTTTGCGTTGCTGATTTGGGGGGAAGAAGAGGAAGGGCAGCAGGCGGCAGGAAAAGGACCTAGAGTGTGGCAACAGTTGTTCTTTCAACCTCCATAAACGCATTAACTTTCACCAACAGGTATTCTTTCAACTTCTAGCCTTTCCAGTGTTTATGTCAGTGAGAAGTCCGGAACTGCTGTGCGAAAGCTTTGACAACTGACACGAGGCCCTACGAGTCTTGCGGCTAAGAGCCTTGGGCCCCAGAGCGCGCCCTTTCGCATCGATATGGGGGTTGATTCCTGTCGAGGGGGTTGATGAATATTCCTGCCCCCAAAACGATGGGTAGCTTTTTCCAGTTGGCGGGAAGCAGGATCTGTGGGAAGACCACGAAATGAGGGAAGCATCACATCTTTTTAGTGGTCTTCCCCGGTGGTCACCCCATGTAAAGGACCTTTTGATCACCCCCCACGTGTAGATGATCTGGGCGAATTGTGACGGCAAGAAATTGCTCAGGACGAATGAGGGGAGAAGTACTTGAGCTGCACTCTCTGGCTGGCTCAACTTTGCAGCTGACAGTGGTGCTCACCAAAGAAAGGCATGAGTAATGCAAGAGTTCTGGAATCCAGCTCTTCTATTCCCAGAAAAGCCCAAGAGATGAGATTCTTGATGTACCAAGGGAGGCGTGGTTGACATCACAAAAAAAGCTAATGCTGATGGTGCTGATAACTCGACGGACCAGTGGTAGCACTGAACAGCTGCACGAATTCGTTGCACGATCGGTTCCTGCTCGACACCTGAAGGTTTGAGCTTCAGATCCGAGTGGAATGCCGGTCTCGGCTATTGAGTGCAAGCCCGCACGGTGCTCTTGATCTTGTTGCTGGGGATCACACCGATAGACCAGGTGTGTGTGTGTGTGTGTGTGTGTGTGTGTGTGTGTGTGTGTGTGTGTGTGTGTGTGTGTGTGTGTGTGTGTCTGTGCTTGTTTTGAAGGGGAAGCACTCGCGCTTGTTCGCTTCAGAGCTTTTTCCCATGCTCTGAGCTCTGGCCCAAAGAGTTTTCACGCTGGAGCTCAGAGCTATTCATGGCTCGAGGGCGCTCGACAGTTACAAAAAGACCACAGCAGTGGTCAGGGGACATGGGGGAGTGGCTTGGGGAGAATTTGGCCATTTGCAGTTCTTGCAGGGTCAGGTGCTTGGTTTGATCAGATTGCACATCCCGTGGCGTTTGCCAGGCAGGCCTCCTCTCCAATGCGGTGCCGGCTTGCTACAGGGATCCTGTCCTGGTGGTTCTCGAGGCGGACCTCGAGAGGGGCCAGTGCACGTCAGGAGTGCATGTCACAGAGCGCGTGCGTTTAGCGAATGTTGCTTTTACATGTGGTTGTCCCTGCATAGCAGCTTTTCCATCAATGGAATGGTAAGCTGGTGGTGCCATGAACTGCAGGTCAAGCAGGTCCAGCAATGCGCAGCAAGACACGTATATACGCTGTTTTCCGACATGATCAAGAGCCTTGAACACTCGGCCAGGGCGACCGATTGGCACCTGCAAAGTATGCTCGCAAGATTCCAGGCTGGGTCAATGCAAGGGGCAAGAGTGCACAGAAGGTTGTAAAGCAGGTTGCCGGATTGAATTTGCACGTCGTTTTGCACTCTTCAGGCTGCAGTTGAGCTATGGAATGCTGTTTCAGCAACGTGCTCAAGTGATTCGAGGTGGAATTCCCTGAATGATTGCTCCGACTCAGTAGGTATGCCGGGCACATTTCGCTCGGCATCTTTAAAGACACACTGCACGAGCGCCTACTTCGTGGCTTTGGTTGGGAGCACCACAACATCATGCTCATGCACCTGTCTGTGTTACTGTCAGGATTGCGGGTGCTGGAGACGCCAGCAGAAGGCGTGGCTTTGTCCACGTCCTCCCCCACTCCCCGCAAGTAAGATGCGAAGCATGCCAATGCTCCAGCAAAGGCAACTCCTGGCCTCGCGCAGTTCGACTTTTCGCATGATAAACGCAGTGATTCACGGCAAAGCGATTGGGGCACCAGGATCGGAGCCGACGCTGGAGGTGAGCGACGCCAGAACGGTTTAGTCTGTGCGAAGTCTGTTGAAGGAATGGCATGAGAGATCCGAGTTCCCCATCTTAAAGCAGCCCGCCGACTAAAACATGTTGTTGGTGGATAGGCACGCATTTGTTTGGATGCTAGGCCCCTTGGCCTTTGTCGCCATGGCAAGATGGGATGATTGGCCACAAAGCATGTGCCAGCGCGCATGGCCAGAGCAAACTGCGATTGTCAAGCGCGCTTGTTCACAGTAGCATGGCTCGGCGTGGCTTTGACATGAGCGGTCCATATTCATTGTGTCCCAACTGGCATGGACTGTTGGTGAGTAAGCCCAATTTCCTAATGGTGCTTCGAGTGTGACCCATGTCATCCCCTTGACAACCGTGGATGGCAACAGTATTGACATTTGACCGTTGCTCACATGATTTCCTTGAAAGATCCACTGCGCACCCCTCCAAAACATGGTCTCACCCATACATCAGCAGGGCAAGGCTCAAGGCAATGCAATGAGCCACGGAGATATGCAATGGCAAGAAGCATCGGTGCTTATGAGGATCCAGCCCAAATTCGAAGCAGTCTCCACAATCAGCAGCGTTCCGGCTTGGTAACATGCTGCAGCAGTGTTTCAGCTTTACTAGCATCACACCGCCACAATATGGGGGTTGATCAATAGGTCCATGATCAAAAGGTCCATTGCATGGGATGACCATTGGGGAAAACCACAAAAATGATGATATGTCCCACTAAATGGGAAAAGTTATTCATGGTCATTTCGGGACCAGGAATATTGATCAACCCCCCCTATGGCGAGATGCTTGTAGACATGCGTGCCCTTGCCACAGTCCGCAACGCTGACCTGGAGCTCAAAGTTGACTCCCTAGGCACCGGGCTCAATCAGGGCCTGAGTAAGTTTGCTCGTGAGGGTCGAACTCAGTCCAGAACGCTGGATACCGTTGGCCCACAGCAGTGGATGGTCACCACGGTAGTAAAGTGTGGTTCGAACGGCAATATGCTTGACCATTTGGCTTTCACCTGAAATTGTCAACCAAAACATGGGACTATGCACGTACATTGACTCCATCAAGCGAATGGCATCCGTGAATACGAGAACAGCGCAGTTTTTCATATTCGAGAAGCAAGCGGCAACGTGTCGACCATGTTGACGATTCTAATTTTCCTTCCTCAAGAATCCAACAACATCTTCCGCGGTTGTCCTGCCAGGCTGGCATTTGACATCGTCAGGGCTTTCTTTGCGGGGCTTTGCTGTGGAGGCCGGGCCTTGCCTTGGCGTGTCCATGGGCTTACCTGTGGCGATAGCAGACACTGCTCAAACCTAGTTTGTTGGACAGCTTAGCGCCGACGCGGCTATTGCCCATGCTCCTTTGCAGAGATGTCCAAGGCCATACCCTTGTGATTGGATGGAGCCTGTTGCAAGGTCTATGGGCGTAGCGGAGAGTCCAGCGGTCAGCTCTTCTCCTTGAACCCGAGTGAAGCGAAAGTGGAAGAGCAACAGGCGCAAGCGAATCGACGGCTTCGGGGCTTGAAGTCAATGTGAGGTTGGGCATGGGAGCATTCAAGAAGAACTCTCGCAACTTGGAACGTGGTGTTTGCGCATTTTAACAAACATCTTTTGGCTTAGTGCTCCTGCCCAGCTGTGTGGCAATGGTATCCAGTGCTTTCCTGCCACTTTGGTATCTCGGTCCTGTCCCTATGCCCAGCTATCCTGTCAGGGAGTGTTCTCTGATAGTTGGGTATTTGCGGAGGGATGACCGAAGGTTGTCCGGCAGCCAACGTGCCATTCTCACTGAATGGGTTCCCCAAAAGTAGAAACACGGCAGTGTGGTCTCCATTTTCTCATCCTGCCATTGTCAAGGTACGCTTTCACTTGGGGTGGGTCATCAACCTGAAATCATGGCCATGCAAGGATTCCTGCTCAAGGAGCCATACTTTTTTTTTCTTTCTCTTTGTGATGTAATTTTTCATGTGCAACCCTTTGTCGGAAAGATTTGCATGGGGATTCATGCTCACCAAATCGTTTTTGGAGGTGTAGCCCTGAGAGATAGGCCTAGCTTGTTCAACACCTGATCCCCGTTGATTAGCGGATTACGGATTGCACGGTTTGCGGATTAGTTTTTCTGGTTTGGATTGCGAATTATGTGTTGCACGTATTCTCCATGCTCCAGCATGCAATTTTGACCCACAGTTTGTAGTGCGGATTACGGATTAAGCAGATTACTGTACCAACCAAAACAAGGATTAAGCGCACTGCGGTTTGCGATTCGGCCCCTGGCATGCTAGAGTTCTGCCCATGAGGAGCTTTTTCCTATGGTTGTCTTAAGGGCTTTCGAATACAGCCCCCCAATCGCAATAGAGGCGGTTTCAGCGACTAAGGCCTACTAGGGGCGATTTTTGTTTCCTTCTTTGGGGGGTCCCCTCTTTGGGGGGTGACAACCGTCCGTTTGAAGTCTGAAGCTTTGACTTCGAGGTGGAGGTGCCGGGCCTCGGGAGATTGCCGGGCCTGGTGTGCACCAGCGAGCGCGGCAAGCTGGTGCTGGCGCTAGGGGAGGCCTTGCTGCTGCAGCTGGAGCTGAAGGCGTCGTGTTTGTGGGGATATCCCAAGCAATGTGAGTATGAATTTTAATTGGGGACTCTTTAGCAAATTTGGGCGGACATGAAATTGGTGGTGATTTCTGTCCACCAGTGGGTTCCCGAGGCAGCCAAACTGAGAGTCGCTTCTGAGATTTCAGAAGCCTCTCATCACCAAGTGCCCAGCTTTGAAAATTTCACCTTGCGCTGGGCGAGGGCTGATTATCCGATGCAGATGGGGTTGGTGGCATGAGGTGAGGGAACAAGGAGCATTCTGGGAGGACCTGCGTGATTTGGGGCGTGTGCTTCTCGGCAGTGGCCAAGGGAGCGTATTAAGACTAAGCTTCGGGTGTGGTGGACGGAACTGATGTTGGGAGACAGCGCTCGGTCGCTCGGTAAGGTGAGGTGAGATATGCCGTGATGACACCAACCCGCCACAGGGTTCAACTTTTTGACTACCCCAAGATAGACTTAAACCCAGGGATTTCCGTTGGACGTCAACCACCTCTATCTTGGGCTAGCCAAAAAGTGGAACCCTGCCCCGCCAGGTTGCGCTTGTCTAAACATTCTTTGTGGCCAGGTCCAAGATGACATTGTGGAGCACTTCTGCCCTGTCCCAAGAACATTGGAAGCTGCAGGAGGCGTTCGTTCTTCCTCTATTTTCCAAACTAAACTCGGCGCTTGGCAGGACAGGAAAAGGTAGGACATATATTCAGTTCGACTCCGTGACACCTCAGGCCAGTGCCCTTGCCAATGTTGCGAGGTGTTTCATTCAAATTGGGGCAATCTGCATCTCTCGCCGTTTCGAGTCTCAGGCCTGCCCTTCGAAGTGCAGGGAGATGGCGAGGCTCCGCGTCGAACGCTTTGCCCGAAGAAGAAGCGGCCCCAAAAACCAAAGCACGAGATACTCTTACGGGCCCAGCCTACAGCCACTTTGGTCATTTGCTGCGAAGCATGTGTCATGATTCCAGTATTTCCATGCCTGGCTTGCCAGCGTCCGTTGTAAGCTTTGCAGTACACTCCATCGCAATGTGCACTGTCAAGTTAGGATCTCGGATGCAGGTTGGGACAGTGCAGAGGCAGTCTGAAGCTTAGATCAAAGCCGCAATTTGCCTGGAGTGAGTGAACAGCACTTGCAACGGGAGTTTCAACATTCCCACAAGTTGCCGCTTTTTCCTCGATGAACAAGAGGCAAGCATTGATCAGACAGCTGCTTAAGGGGCCTTTATCAGCCAGACACACATCGTGAGTCTGACAAAAAGTAAACACTCAAGTGGAAGTACACACATCCCCGTTTTCAGGTGTGTTAAGTTTGGTTTGCAGCACCACGTGTAGCTCAAGCGGCACGCCTCATCGCCCAGCAGCAAAACGGTTTCGGCTTGAGGGTCACTTGCTGCACCTCCCGCTGGGTGCGACCTGCAGAGCACTCCAGCTTGCTGGCGCGGGATGGGATGGCCTTGGGGCGCGGGATGTTCAAATCACTTGCTGCAAATCCGTCGATTGGTTGGGACGGTTTCTGAGATTGTCGTGGACACGGAGTCCAGTTGGTAGTTTCTTGCTGCTTTTTGTTGGTTGCGTGTGTCTATGTGTGTGTTTGTTTGTTTGTTTGTTTGTTTGTTTGTTTGTTTGTTTGTTTGTTTGTTTGTTTGTTTGTTTGGTGTGGGGGGAGTTGAATCCTGCGCAGGTGAATGGGTGGCAGAGCTTCAGCTTCAGCAGCTTGGAGCAAGTTGTGTTTTCCATCCAACCTGCTCTCAATCACTCCCAAACCCGCTTTGAATCAGGCGCGCAAACCGTAAACCTATGCTGCACCTAAACTACTCCATATCTAATCGTTGGTCTTTGGTATGACCTTGGCCCATTTGTTTTTGGCATAATTGCACTGCATATCCCCGTCTTGTTGTACTTAGATTGTCTTCCTGTGCTGCTTTTGGCCTGCATGAGGTGCCAAAATCGGTTAGGGCTTAAGGGCCTTCAAATTGTCAGAAATTTCAAATGCTGTTTCCTTCCTAGTTGATTTTTCCTTGTGGTTGGGGTCTTTGACACCCTCTACTTTTTGGTGCTAGTTCGACGAGCCTCACAAGCAACGAATCTCTGGACTTGGGGATGCAACAGGAGCGCAGGGTGTGATGATGGGCGGGAGAGCAAGAAAAGTTGAATCGTTATTTGCACGACTTAACAAAGGCTTGTGACTCATGTTGACCTTGAGCGCCCCCTTTTCCAGGCGCCGTACCTTCCCACACAGCGCCCAAAACTAATGAGGCTTCAACCCGGACAGTGAGCCCTTCGCACGCAGCAGGTGGGGCCCTGCACGGTACCGAGAAGCAGCCTCAGACCTGTATGCCCTTCTTCTCTGCTGCTTTCCACCAGGGTGCTGCTCTCCCCGCAGGCCCGCAGGACGGGAAGGAAGCGCCGAGCGCGAGGCTGATGAATCGCGGGTATGAGACACTTCAATGCTGTTGCTTGTGTTACAAAGCTTGCCGAATTCTGGCAGTTGTGAGTAGTCACTAGAATGTCCGGGTCTCAAGGGGTTTTGAAGCGCGGCGCGAGCACAATGTTGTCAACAGCTTGTTGCACATCTTTTAGTGCCAAGAAGATACAACATAAAAGCAAAACAAAAAGCAAATACAAGTTCACACCAGGGAAGAACACAACTAGAAAACAGAGATGAAAAAACCAAAACACAAACCAAAAGAAAAGCAAAGCCAAAAACAAGTCCACATGTTGAATGCCTAGTTTAAGTGTTTCTGGCTGCATGTTGTCCTTTGTTTTGTTGGTGGTGCGTGTGTGTGTGTGTGTGTGCTCTTGTTTTGTTTTGTGTTTGTTCTTTTTCTGTTGCTTTTTTTTGGTTGTTTTTATCCGGTTTTTTCACATGTTGGATGCCTGGTTTGCCCCTGAAGTGTCACGGGCTGCATGTTGTTATTTTTTTTTAGTTTTTTTGGTTATTTGTTGCTTTGTTTTGATTTTTTGGACATTTGGATGCCTGGTTTGTCCCTGAAGTGTCCCGGGCTGTATTTCGTTCTTTTTTTGTTTTGTTTTTGTTCTTTTTTGTTGTTTTTTGCACATGTTGGATGCCTGATCTTCCCCTGAAGTGTCCCTGGCCGCATTTTGCTGTTTGTTCATCACGTTTAGCACATTTTGGATGCCTGGTTTGCCCCTAAGTGTCCCGGGCTGCAGTTTGTTCATTTTTGTTTTTGGTCCTCGTGTTTTTGTACATTTTGGCTGCCTGGTCTGCCCCTGAAGTGTCCCTGGCCTATTTTTATTTGTTCTCTTTTTGATTTGTTCCTCGTGTTTGCCCCTGAATTGTTCCGGGCTGCATTTTGTGTTTTTTTCTCTCTGTTTTTGCACATGTTTTTTGTGTTTTTCTTGTTCGTTTCCTCTGTTTTTGCACATTTTGGACGCCTGGTCTGCCCCTTAAGTGTTTCTGGCTGCATTTGTTTTGGCTTCCGTGTCTGTAGTTTTGTCTTTTTGGCTGATTTTCAGTGTTTGCCTATGTCTGGGGTTCATAATCCTACGTGTTGAAGGTTTTCGTCGGATCTCTCATTTGGCCGCAGGTTGCCCAGCGGCCAAGGACCCCAACGTGCTTGTCAGCGACCTGCCGCTCAGACTGCAATGCCGGTATCACCGGAATCGGAGAGCTGTAAAAAAAAGGGGAGGTGTTCCCGTTGTCCTTTCTTTCCAGAGTCTCAGAGCTTCATCAATGTTGGAGGGGGAAGATGGGAAGCAAGGGAATGATGCTCACCTGACCGTTATCTGTTTGTCTCTCATCGTCGCTTCTTAGCCAATGGTAAAGACTGGGATTTTGGCTAGCGGTAGGACCTGGAAGAAAGTGACGGCAGAAGCTAGCCCAGGAAGAAGGTAATAATTGGCGAGCAATGCGGAAGCTTGCCGGACAGGGCGCGTTAACATGATGTTAACAGTACAGTTTGGTGATGAATATGGCCAGTTCCGGCAGAATATCTAGGCGCATAGAGCGACTCATGTTCCAAAGCTGGCCCTCAAGAATCCGCTTTGCTTCAAAGAACCTCATGATGAACCAGCTTCAGCTTCGCCCGCGAAATCTGGCCAGGGTTCCGCAGGTTCGGCACGTGTCAAGGCCTCGCTTCGATCGGCATCAGCTCTAGGTACGGCCATTACCTTCAGCACGGTGACAACGCTTCCGACGTGTTGGGCGGCGCCTTGGCCGGCTTCCAGGGCCCTCTACAGGCCTCAAGGAGTCCAACTGCTTCCAAGGCTCGAAGTTGCTGACCAGAGTGCAAGACGCCCACAAGTGCGTAGATGCCATGCCAAATAGCCGACCAAAGCGAGATTATGTTGACACCAGCATGTCTGCCCGCTCGTCTTGCCGAAAGAAGCCCGTGGCAGATATTTGAACATGATAGTTCTAAGGTTGGCCTATGACATGCATAGCAAGGGCCGCAATTTGAACCGGCTGCCCTTCATTTGTTTCCCAGGTTTTCTGGCACAGAAGGCCGGCTTTGGTGGCCTCGCCGCTGCATGGCGGCATTGGAATGAGAAGCTGCGGCGCTTAAAGCGTCCACACTCTCACGATGCTGAATTCAGAAAAGCGTGGGAGCATGAGATTGTCAGATATCAGGTCCTTGGGCCCCATGCCACTGGCTGTGAGGTCACTTCCACCCTCCCAGCAAAGCTGACCTTGTTCAGCGAGCTGCAGCCCGGCCCTTCTTTGTGCGGGGCTCAAAGATTCAGACATATCAGATAGACGCTAAAGTCTGGGAGTTCCCACAGGAGTTGCTGCCACTTTTTTTGGGATCGGCTCGGTCGGCCCTGATCTTTGTGCCGAGGTCCAGCGACTGGGCATATCTTAGCCTGCAGAAAGGCGGCTCCCAGGTGCAGCAGACATATTTTGACACGAGCCTCGGCTGAGCGGACTTCATGTGCTCAACAAATGGTCCAGACATGAGGTGGTCACGCTTGCGGATGTCAAGGATTGTAGAACATCTGAACTTGGTACCTTCAAAACAGGCGTATTCAGGTCTCTCCCAGCCCGTTGTGCACACGCAATCGCCGAGATGCTAAAGTTGAAACGGGCAAACATTCTTCACCAACTCTGAGATGTCTCCATGAAGAGCTTGAGAGGGAGAGAGAGAGAGAGAGAGAGAGAGAGAGATGTAACTGCCTTTGCTTATGTCATGGGCAAGGATAATGAAGCACCATCAGCTGCGGCCGTGCAAGCCGCAACCAGTGGGTCGTAGCCTTATTGAGCGGCTGCAACCTTTGCATAGCCTCTTCGAAAGGGGTTTGTATTGGCAGGTTGGTGCTCCTGGTACTGTCACGGACCCAACGTGGACGAACTGCTCATGCAGCAGTCGCTAGAAGAGCTGAAAAGTCTTGGCTTGGATTCTGGAAACTTGAAGCAAGAGAGTCGGAGAGTCGGGCTGCTTTAGAATGCAAGACCAGTGTGCTGCCTTCTTTTTACGGTTTGCTTTAGTCTGTGGGCTGCTTTTGTGCGTCTGTTGTCTCGATTCAGCTGTTGCGCCAAGGAGAGCTCGCACTGAAGCTCTTTCAGCTGGATGATGGCTGGCAGAAGATGTGGGGCGACTGGACACCCAACGCGAAGTTTCCGCAGCACGGCAAATTGAGGGAGGTGTTGACTGACGCGTGAAGCTTCAAGGATAGATCTTGCGTAAGCCATTGTTTGGTTCTGGGCGGAATCCGGGCTTCGGGCCAGCCTGAGGAACGGCCTGAAGCCTCTCACAGCAGCGGTGAGGGAGGCAGGGCTGCTGCCGGGGATATGGCTGGCACCAGCGGCGCTGGTGGCGGGCTCCAAAGTGGCCAAGGATGGGGTCAGTCAGAGCCGTTTGAGGCTTGCTTTCTCACGATGGATGGGCCTTCTGAGAAGTCTCCGCACTTCGAGACCTTCACCGACTCTCACTCGACTCTTTTCTTTTGCGCGTGAGGAGCATCCAGAATGGATACTGCGGGATGAGTACGGCAAGGTGGTTTCGGGCGGCTTCACTGCCCCAGGGTTGGGCGCTCAGAGCGGCAGGAGCAGAAGGAGTTCAGTGTTGTCGTCATTGGAGCTTCTGCATATTTGCTTCTGTGCCCACACAAGCTCATGTGTGAGTCGAATAATCACGGCTGGGCAGCATGACCTGCGAATAGGATCTCTTGGCAAGACAGGCGTAGCTTCGGACGGAAGCGAGTGAAACAAAGCATTTCCGTTTGTTGCAAGAGCGTTGTTGAAGTAGTGCCCGCGCTATAGCTGAGTTTGACTGAAGCTCGAAACGGTTGAGCCATCACTGCTTCATTTCGAAGCCGTGGTCGCGAGGAAGCTTCGCGAATTGATGCAGCGCGAGTTTGCGAACCTCAATGTGTCCCCAGCGCAGCTACAAACCTGCTGAGGAGGATTAGTTCAATTTTTGAGACAATGGCGAGCGAAAACACGCACAGCTGCTGCGAAGACGTAGTGAGCAACGCAAAGCAGTACCAGAGGCTCCGGAGACCGTCTGCCAAAGCAATTTATGTGCGTTTCCGCACTCGACATGGATGTCTAGATGTCACAAGGTCTTGCGTACACGGCAACTACAAGGAAAAACAGCGTCGGTTGCTGTGTTCACTGCGCTCGCGCAATGCGCATCAAACCCACATTGCCTGTAGTGGCACGCAGGCCTAGGTGCAGAGAAACGTGTCACACGTGTTTTGCTCTTTTTCTCTCGCAAGGCTTTGGATGCGTGGGCTGGACACTACAATTCCAGAGGTCATAGTGACTTGGACGAACCAGGAGCTTGGTGGAAGATAACTCACAGGCTGATTCCGGTGACACGATGTGTGTCTGTGACCATGCCGGCATAGTGTGACTAGCTTGTTCAAAACCTAATCCCCAAGGTGCGCTTTGCGGATTACGGATTATTGGTTGCACAGATTTCCCATGCTGCAACATACGATTTCGGATTGGACAAATTTACAGCCAGAACAAAGATGAAGCGGATAACGGATTGTGATTAGGTCCCCATGGATAAGCTAGCGTGAAGAAAAGCTTTGCTGTGCATCGAGTTGGCAAGCAAGTGGCACTTCCTCACAAGGCTGTGCCAGAGCAGGAATTCCGAGTGACTCCAGTCTTGATCAGCCCTTCCTCGATCTGAGCCTTCGAGGAAGCCGTGCCTGATCGAGTTGACTGAGGAACACATTGAGAGCTTGATCCGCACGATCGTGCATGAATGGGGCTTCGGATACTTAAAGTGCCACGGCATGCATTGCTTAGCCGAGCTGATGCATGCAAAAGCGTGTGACAAACTTAAGCTGCAGGCATGCTCATCTCAGGTGCGATTTCCTGCATTTGGCGTCGTTGCCTGGGAAGCGCCATGATCCCCGCTGCAGCCGCGCGGAAGCATTGACGCGGCTCATGGCGGCAGTGCGCCGTGCCGCGGGGCCGGATGTCTTCATCTTAGGCGCGGAGTGGGAGGTGTTTGGTCAACCTTGGCTTGCAAACAATTTGTTGCGCATTGTGAAGCCTGCACGCTCAAACGCGAGAATGTGGGTGCTGGACAGTGTTGAATGCAAAACCACGAGTTCAGGAACAGAGGCAGAGGTGCGTGATCGGTCTCATGTTTTTTTCATGTTTCTTGGGTGGACAATTCGTTTCATGGTTTCTTTCATGATGTCTTGGGTTTCATGGTTTTTAAGGCACCAGGTGTTTGGGTCTGGTTGAGCTTGCCTTCAAAACCAAAGCCCTGCATCGCCGCCCAGCCTGCGGCGCTCCGCTGGGGCCCTGCGTGGGCCTGGCCGACGCCATCCGCGTTTCTGCAGACACGGCGCCGCATTGGCTGCCGGTGGGGTCGCTGAGCTGCAGGGGGAAAAATATGGCTGGGTCAAAACTAATGGTAGCATTTTGGGGCAGGTGCACCACCCATTTTAGTCTATTTTAGTTGGGATTGGGATGTTCACGCGGGCCACATGACTGGCTGGTGCGACGGGGAACAAGAAATGGAGTCTGACCCCGATTTGAACCATCCCTTGCTGGGTGTTTCCTTTATTCTGGGACTGGAGTCATTGCCACGTTCCCTACCTATCGCACCAGCACGAAAACCAAGAAAGTCACAGAGGCCTGGGACGTGCTTGATGTGTTTCTTCGAGGCTTGCCAAATGTGAGGCCTGGGATAGGAAGCCAAGCAAGAGCAGCCTAAACCCACCGCAAGCCCAGTCTGAAACCCCAAGCCAACCGTACACTCCCCTGAACCAACCCTAAACCAACCCTCCACCAGTCAATCCTCAACCCACCAATCCAGCGCCGTAAACCCACCCTCATCCAGTCTGAAACTAAACCGTAACCCACCCTAAGCCAACCCTAGACCTTACGCTAACGCTGCCTACCTGAACCAACCCCAACCCACACCCTAAAACTGACCCAAATCTGCCCGGAACCCACCCTAAAGACGCCGAAGCAACTCAGCAAATCCTAACCCTAAACCAACCCTAAGCCAGCCCTAGACCAACGCTAAACCAACCAACCCTAAACAAACCTTGAACAAACCCCAAAACCAACCCCAAGCCCAACCCAAACCCACCCCCCAGACCAATCCTAGCCAACCCCCACCCTAGACCATCCCAAACCAAGATGTTTGTCGGGGCGGGGTCAAAACCCTGTTGATGGTGCTGCAGCAAAATGATAGCATTGCTGTTTATGCTAAGACAATTGCTGTTTTTATCCCCAAAGCATTGTCTTTGATTTGGTTGCACTTGTTCTGACTTTTACAATAATATGGGTTGGATCCTGTACTCATGCTCATCACCACACAAGTGCGCCTGTTGAGTTAATGAGAGCTTCTGCCATTTTGATGGACAGAACACGCTCGCAACTAGTTGCCTTGTTCGTTGAGAAGGTCGTTTGCCATGAGGTTTGCGCATCCCAGGCCGGACATTCCTGGAACACGCTGGATGTTTGCGCATGATCGCACCAATCTGCCGTCAGCAAGGACCGAGGCTAACGATTTGAATGACGATGACTACAGTCAGCAGGATCACAAACTGATCATGCCTATCATTGTGACTGTCGCGATCATAGTGGTGATGGTGATGGTACCGTTAGTGTTGATGGTGATGATGCTAGACGGCAGTGATAGCGATAATGGTAGACGGTAGTGCTAGTAGTGACGGTGTTGATGGTAGTGACGGCAGTGATGGTGGTGATGGATGGCAGTAGTGATAGTAGTGATGGTAGTTGTGGTAGTGATGGGTGATGATGGTGATGATGAGGATGATGAGGATGATGAGGATGATGATGCTGATGATGCTGATGATGCTGATGCTGATGATGATGATGATGATGATGATGATGATGATGATGATGATGATGATGGATGATGACGATAATGACGATGATGATGATGATGATGATGATGGATGATGATGGATGATGATGATGATGATGATGATGATGATGATGATGATGATGATGATGATGATGATGATGATGATGATGATGATGAGGATGAGGATGAGGATGAGGATGACGATGAGGATGACGATGACGATGACGATGATGATGAGGATGACGATGACGATGATGATGGTGATGGTGATGGTGATGGTGATGGTGGCATGGCGATTGCAATGCCTATGCTGGTGGTGATGCTGCTGCTGCTGCTGCTGCTGCTGCTGACATGATGATGATGATGATGGTGGTGGTGGTGGTGGTGGTGGTGGTGGTGGTGATGGTGATGGTGATGGTGACGGTGATGCTGGTGCTGATGGTATGCTGGTGGTCCTGGTGGTCGTGCTGATGGTGGTAGTGCTGCTGGTGGTGGTGATAGAGTTCAAGGTGATCATGGTGATTAAAGGGACCATGGCCATCAGGTTGGCTCACGCCTGCGCACCTCTCGTGGACAGGAATATGGTTTGCAGCACCATGGCGCGGCTGCAGATGAGCGGGCGTTTGTGGGTGAATGACCCAGATTGCATGATTCTGCGCGAGAAGGCAAGCGGCGGGCTGCAGTCATCGTTACACTGGGTGAAGTCAGTCGACTTGGGTTTTTTGGAGATCATGGGAAGCCGGCCGGTATGGCAGGGTTTGGACATTTGCTGTTGATACAATTGTATGGGCCAGAGTGGCCTCCTCTTCATGCGTGCTGATCAGGACAAGTCGGACCACCAGCCAGCAATCTTCAAAGCCTGGACTGCAAAGACGAGTTTGCGGCCACTGCTAGATGGTGGATTAGACTTTTTGCGTGATGGCAAAGAAAGAACGGAAGGAAGAACGAAAGAAAGAAAGAAAGAAAGAAAGAAACCAACTAACCAACCAACCAACCAACCAACCAACCAATCAACCAACCAACCAACCAACCAACCAACCAAGCAAGCAAGCAAGCAAGCAAGCAAGCAACCAAGGAAGGAAGGAAGGAAAAAAGGAAGGAATGAAGGAAGGAAGGAAGGAAGGAAGGAAGGCAGGCAGGCAGGCAGGCAGGCAGGCAGGAAGGCAGGAAGGCAGGCAGGCAGGCAGGAAGGAAGGAAGGAAGGAAGGCAAGACACACAGGAAGGAAGGAGAGAAAGAGGGAGAGAGAGACTGAGAGAGAGAGAGAGAGAAAGAGAGCGAAATACAAGTTTGTGGCTGTGCAGGGGCTTGAACACTTGTCTCGGCTCTGGAAGGTGGCGCTGCACGAGGCGCGGGCGCTGGCGAGTGTGGTAGCCCTCAGCGCGGGCTCCGTGATCTTCTCTGACGCACTGCACCTGGTGCCCAAGGATCCGACCGCCGAAACGGTGGCGATGCCGCGGAAAATTGTGCACTGAAGATGTCGACTTTTGCATCAGGGCCATGTTGGCCATCTGTTTTGCGAAGTCATGGCCTTCAGACATCATCGGATACCCCATGGCCGCATCAGCTGCCTTGACCACAAATCGGTCCCAAAAGCGGCAGAGTTGAGGAGCGCCTGGAGATCCTGAAGGCGCTCCTGCCGCCACTGCCGCGGGCAGCCGAGCTGCCGCGAACGACTTGCCAGGAGATCCCACACAAGGCGGTACGACAAACATCGCGTATTGTGGGGCGGTGGGGAATTTTCAGTTTCCTAAAAGCTTTCTGCTTGGGATGCGCAGATGATGACAAGCCTCAGCAGCGCGGTGGGCAGCTGGCAGCTGTGCGGCCTCTTCGCTTGGGATGAAGCAGAATTGCAGCACGAGCTGGAGGATCAGGACAACCTCCTCCATCCCTCATACGCGAGTGAGTTCAAATCTGGGGCTTTTCTCAATGGTTGCTATCCTTGTGGCAGTCCAGGGTGCCAATTTCGAGCTCTATGCCTTGAAGGTCAGCTGTTCAAATAGTTGGGTTGAGTCGGTCTGCTCTCAGGACTGTCACGTATTCGAATTCTGGAGCAGCGCTTACACACGGCACAAGGCAGCAGATGGTAGCCCCTTGGCCCAAGAGTGCAGGCAGGTTGTCGCGTGCAAAGCCCCGAAGGTCCGAGCGCAACCCAACTGTTCAAGCCAGGCACACAAGGCCACAGGTGTTTCCCACGAATAAAACCTCAAATGCATGTCGGTCTCACTTGCGCAGTTTCGCCCGACCGACTGGAGAATTCCACACGTGTTTCCGCCATTTGCCACCAAAGATTGAGCTCCAACCTCCTGCGTCGCGGCTGGCACCAAGGCTTCCGAACGGGTCCCATGGCTGCCCGCAGCTGCCGACTGCTGGCGCTGAGGCCGCTGCAGGCCCGGCCGCAGATGGTGGGCTCCAACATCCACGCAGCTCAGCAGAAATCCGAGGGGAGCGAGCGCAAGGGACAACAGGAGAGCTCCAAGAATGGCCTGCATTGGGGCTGGGAGTTGACCACAGCTTACTGGCATGGCTGTTGATCTTTGCCTTGGAAGAGTTGACTTGTTCAAGTAAGGGTTTGTTTATGGGGCGTTAAACCGTTTGGGGCGTCCCAGAGCACTGCCGAGGTTTCTTGTGGCATGGAGGTGACCAGCTGGGAGGCGGCGGCGCAGTCCCTGAGCTTCACCATCAACGTTCAGAGACGAATCGTGGAGCCCCAGGTGGGCTCAAGGGGAGAGACGGCCTCACTGGCGTCCACTCCAGTCATTGACATAGACCACCAAGCCATCGAAAGAAAGGGTTGCTTCTTGGCCCCCTGTAAGGGCTTTGCTCATTCCTGGCTTGGGGATTGATTCAGCGCTTGGCGCACACTCCAAAAGCGCAAAGCTCCCCCGTCGCAGGTGTGGATCTACCTGCCGGGCGCCAAGAGCCCTCGCTGCAGCGGAGCGGCGCAGGAGGCCTGCGACCATCGAATTTCTGACCGGGGGGTTTCTCAAAACGGGACTGTCTTTTTGAGTTGACCCCGCAAATTGTGGTTTTTCTTTTTTTTCAAACCACACAAAAAGGGGTACCCCAAAAAAAGACACACCCAAATGGGTTCCCCTGGCAAGTGGATACGTGGACGATTTCAACTGCGGTCCATATCCTGGTGGTTTAATTTTGATACCGGCCCATACTCATGGTACCAAGACTGGGGGTTTCTCAAAATTAGGGATGCCTGGTAGGTGATTTCCTTCTGGTCCCCAAACAAGCATCCAAAAAGGGCTATTCTGAGAAACCACCCAGACGTGGACGTGCAACTGGGAAATCGTTGTATGCAAGCTGGCTTTTGGCTGCTTCAGGCTCCAGGAGTTGTAGATTGGCGATACACGCTGTTTCCGCCTTAAAGCAAGCCTGTTCGGTTGGGCCCAGGAGCAAATGTTGTTGTTCTGTTATTCAGCCCCGCGACCGTTTTCCACGTACATATGCATGTATATCCGGAGTATGTGCATACATACATTCCTGCACGAAGTACATGCGCACAGACATTCACAGTGACGCGTGGGCGCACACACGCACACGGTCGCACAGACAGATACCGATACTTGACACAGGCACAGGCACGGACACACAGACACAAGGACACACAGACACACAGAAATAGACATAGACATAGACATAGACACAGACCCAGACACTCACAGAGACAGACAGGGAGAGAGAGAGAGAGAGAGAGAGGGACAGACAGAGAGAAAGAGGGGAGAGAGAGAGAGAGAGAGAGAGAGGCAGAGAAAGATTCATTCTGATCCTTGCTCCCCGGCCAGGTCTATTCAGAGGCAGGCCGTTGTTTCGTCGGCTGTTTAGTGCATTGAGGTGTCAATGCTGTTCCCTTGAATTGCAGGCAAGTGTTTGTCTCTGTGGGTGTGCGCAAGAGAGAGCAAGAGAGCGAGAGAGACAGAGAAAGTTACAAACTCTGTTGTTTTGCTTGAGTATTCAGACTCTTGGCCACTGCATAATTCGAGTAAAGAGTTCAGCTCTTCGTCTCGGTTCGAAACCACTGTTCTTTTCTTGGCTTGGTGCGCTTTCTTCACTCGACGTGGACACAGGTTTTGCTTCACCAGGTGTGGCGTTTCTCGCTGCCTGAAGTGCCAAAGAACGGGGCCAGCTTTCAGATTGACTGGTAAGCGGAGGATGAGGTTTCGCCACGGAAGATCCGTTTGACGAGATCCTCAATATGCCGGTTTGGCAGGATGTGCTGATGCCTGGTGTTCAGTTCTCCGAAGCCAAACCGCAAAGTTGGCATGCAAAAGGCTTGCTGGCTGGAGAGATCGCTTGAAAATCGTGCATGGGCGTTCGCAGCGATCTAGAAGCATTGACACTTAGATTACCGAGAGCCAGCGAGCAGAACTCAACGCCCACTGCGGAATGCGCAGTTTCTGCACCAGGAATATGTACGCAAGCTTGAACTGGGAGGATTGAGTTCCAAATGGGTTTTTCTCAAAACTGAAACAGGGGTTCTCTAACATTGTTTCTGTCTTGCTTTCCCTTCAAGCACAAACCAAACAGGGGTCCCATTTCAAAAAAGCCCCAAATCCATCTACTGCCGCTCATTCGTTTCAGGGCTCAAGCTGAATACGTTCTGCTCCACATCAGAATGTGTGGCTCTTGAATTCCTGTTCCAGCTGGTCAGCTGCAAGGCAAGGCGTTCGCAGGTTCACTCGGTTTGATCCCTCCGGCTCTGCAATAATCGTGTGCTCATGGCGGGGCCATGTCCGGCTCCAGGCCTGGAGCAGTCGATTGGATGTTTCGGCCTCGTGGAGCTCCAGAAATGTCCCACTCGGAGCTCCGTCCGGGAACTGAAAACAAACGGAGCAATGTGTGTGTAGATGTGTTTGTGTGCGTGTGCGCGAGACAAAACGAGGAAAGAGAAAGGGCCGTGAAAGGGATGAGCATGCAAGGGGAAGCGCGAGATCAAGAAGGGCGGGAGAGAAAGATTCACTGAGCCGGCTAGCTAGATTCTGCTTTTGTCGGTCGATTCGAGCAGAAGCCAGGCTGACTGCAAATTCTTTGGCTGGGGGCAGGAATTAGCGGGAGCAGGAATATTAGCTTGGAACCCGTAGGATGGCTGGGGGTCGGCTTTGTGCATTTGCTCCTCAGCGACAGGCGCCTGGCGCAAGAAATCGCGGTGCCCTGGACGAACAGCTTTTGTTGCGTGGGGGACGGGGCGGGAAGTTTGGGCAGGCCGAGATGCCGGAGGTCAAGCATAATTGTTTGGAGGTCAGCTTGGGACATCTTGTGATGCTTGGGAGATTTTGGGACATGGGTTTGGCTTGCAGTTGTCTTATTTGGGACCATGCCAACCCGGGAGTTTGTTCCTGACCTTGCCAGCAGCGTGTCCAGGCAGCGCCCAGCAGTTCTGCGGCCCTCGCAATTCTGCGCCGGGCCAAGAAGATCAACCAGATCCATGTTACGGCACCACCTGCTCGATTCCCGCTGCCGAAAACTGGGGAGCCCACAAGATGAGAGACTCCGTTGTTCAACACCGACCTTTTGACCGTTTGACCCCTTTGGTTCCCCAGGTTAACCCTTTTTTTCCGGGTCGTTTGGGCAAGTGAGGAGAGAGGGAGGGAGGGAGAGAGAGAGAGAGGGAGACAGCCATCGTTCGCAGCGGTTGCCATGTGTTCAGGCTGCGGCCCAATGTGTTTGCCCATGGCGCTTGACCTTGAACACTTATGGACATTGGATGCTCGGGAGGCATGTCTACACCGGGTTGCTCTCAAACCTGTGGATTCCAGACAACTGGAGGCCAGGTGTTGTGCCTGCCTCGCGTCACCGATGCATGATGCGGGAGCCACCACCAAAAGAAGCTTGCAGCGGATGCACGATGGATCTGGGAAACTTCAATAAAAGAGGATACGTGTTCCCACTGGTGAATCCTCCGCCTTCTTCTTTGGATATTGGCGACTGTGCAGCTGACTCCTGGCCGCCCCGCCCATTTTTCCGGAGATCGATTCTTCCGGCGGGTGAAGAGGTGCTCCTGGAGCAGTTGCAGGTGGAGCAGCTGGATGCCGAGGCGCTGGCCGGGCACCCCAGCTGGGTGCTTCGTTCCGCGAATGTGTCTCACACGCGTGGTGACTGTGCGAGAGCCTGCGCGCGTTCAAAAAAATTGGCCACGGAGAGCCTAGGCGATCAACGCCTGGTCTCTGGCAAAGCTGTGGCAGGAGAGCCGGAAAGCTCCGATGTGCGGACGGAGATGCGGAGATTGACCGTTCCAGTGTCCAAACTGTGACAAGGTTCCGTCATTTCTCCAAGCCCGTTTTGGTGTCTTGCACCTCTTGTTTGCCCTTCCTGTTCAGGCCGCTGGCAAGACAGGCGCCGAGCTTCGGCAGAGCCTGTGGTACAGCGCAGCACAGCGCAGGCGAGGGTGACAAGTTGCTTCCTTTTTGCGGGCTTGTTTGAGATTGCTGGTGCACTGGCTGTCCGCATACATTGAGCCAGAAGGATCTTGGAAGCTTGCCACTTGTCGAGGTCTGAAATTTCAGCGCGGCACCTCTCGAATCTGCTGTGGTCTGTTGCAACCAGCCGGGACGGAACAACGGAGACAGTGCCTGCCTCAGCAGAGATGACAGATCGGTCGCTGTTCCTTCTTTTGCTTCATATTTGCCAAAGTGGCCTTATGCAAGCCCAACCTTGTCTCTCCAGGAAAATGGCATGTCCATCGCACTAAGAGAGTTGGGGGTTGCTCACAGAATTTCTGCCTCAAGTTTCTATTGGTGAGGTCCTAGCCTTCAGCGACATGCTGATGTCGCGCCTGGTCGATTCTCAGCCTTGTCAGCTTGGGCCAAAAAAACTCACCATGACAACCATGGTAGCCGCTACCTTGTTCTACTCATTTGATTAAGGGAGGGGGCCAAAGGTATGGCTACCCGCAGGTTCCGGCTTGGCTGGCTTTTGCAACTTTGGTTAGTATCAAAAAGCATGCCTCGATGAAAGCTGACCACAACGCAGTAACACTGCCCTGTTCTGATGATCCTGAAGACAATCCTGTCATTGAAACCTTCAGTGTAGTTCTAGCAGGGCTGGTCCCAGGCAACAATTTTCTAGCTCGCTGCGGGCTTCTTGGCGGGGTCGCAGGGTTTCCGGGTGTAAGTCAATTGGTCGCTTCAGCAAGGCTGCAACAAGTACTGAGGCATTGACTGTGTCATGGTCCTAGAATGAGCTACGGAAGAATGCTGAAACAGGTGCTGCGTCCATGCTGCACTGAATAGCTTGTCCAAACCACAGTCAGCCCAGGATCTTTCTCCGCAAGGCTTGGCCAACTGCTTCTGGGCGCTGAGCAAGCTGAAAGCCGAGCGTGGCCTGACAAGATTGGGACTGCGAATTCGGCCAAAGTCTTGCTGGTGCTTTGGTAGGGAGTGTGGGAATGAATCGTTTTGGGGTCCCCTCAAGGGAAACCACCAGCTTTCCCGTCTCTCGCACCGATCGCAAGTCTTGGCATCCCAAGGCGGATCTATCGCTTTGGACGCTCTCGCTTTGCAGGGCGAGCTGCGGATCTCCGAGTTGCCACCTGGCACCAGTTTTGAGTCTTGACCATCGGGGTCACGGATTTTCTGATTTGCTGAAACCAGGACCGACCAGGACCCCCCGGATTTTCGAACGGTTCCATGTCAATTGGTGGGAGGGTACTTCGATCCCGGTTGAGTCCTCACTAGGGGCCTGTTCCACCCGCCTGCCGCCTGTGAAGGGGACTGGAAACGCGGATGCCTAGGCAACCGCAAGATCTTGCCAGCATGCTTTGGTCC